AAGTGACGGACATCCTTTGTGGTGAGCGGACGCGTCATAAACCACTCTAATTTTAGTGTTTTTATTGGGAGTTAGAATTGTTTGATGGGGTATATAATGGAGTCGAGAGTCTTTCGTAACTGCTTCTTCGTCGACTTCTTCTAAAGTGTTCGAGCGAAGTTGTTCGGCAAATATATTATTGTATTCTTCCATTAATTCGCGATTATTTTGTAGAGATCTCCAAACACTATTTAGTCTACTGAGAGCTATGGCTTTATTGTCGGGTAGTTTAGTAGTGGTTGACTCCTTCCAGGGGAGGCGTACATAGTACCCGTTGGATCGTTCTTCGATGGTCTGATTGAATTTCTCCCACACTTGTTGGTCAGTTTGCATCGCTATATCTTTTTCGGAATTGGAGAATTCTTCGGTTCCAGCAGATTGTAGTGTGAGATATCTCTCCCAGTTTTTATCGTCGTCGTCCTCCAATTGCCAAAGTGGGTGATATGCGAAATTGATTGGACTTGATACCGTAGTGTATTTTTCGTGATTTTTCGTTTCATTTTCTTTTTTAGGTAGTAGATAAGAGTGCTCGTCGGTCTTGCCTGTTATGAGGTGACCTAGACGAGTCGGTAAGAGATGTAAACCTGATGGTAGTATGATGTGCGGTTGGTCGCCTTTCACGAGGGACCATAGTTGGTCAGAGCCTAATAGTATAGTGGGTTTCGCTTTTAGTTCGGTGTGAGTTAGTTTTACTGGAAGATGACGTTGTTGAATAAAATCTGTATCTTCCTTAGAAATTGGAGGGATAACAAATGGCTTAACCAAGTTATCGTGGGTGTATAGGAGCATGGAGAGCGGACGACCTTCGGCGTCCCATGCTTTCAGGGAAACTTTGTTGGACGGCTTTTCTCGTGCTTCTTCGGATCCGAAAGTGCTTAAGCGTAGTTTAGTTTCTTGGAGGATAGGAAGATTCAATTCTGCTGCGAGTGATGCTTCTATGAAAGAAAGATCAGCTCCAGAATCCAGCAAAACTGCGACTTTTTGAAGTGTCCCTGTAGTTGTGTTCACCACCGTAATTTCTCCAGTTGGTAAAATGGAGGTTTGGTGACTTTGCTGATGCTGACCTTGAGCCTGAATTTTTAGGACGGAGGTCTCGTGCTGTGCAGGTTCTTCTTGTTGTTGATTGACGTAGTTGATTTTGGACGTTGGTTGGTAGGTCTTGGTGTCCTTAGTGCTATATTTTCTGTCTTTAAAGACTTTGTTTCTGTTTGGTTCGCTTTTAGAAGCATTCTGAAAGCTTTCTTTTGAGGTCGACTGAAGACAACATGAAGTATGGTGCCGTCTCTGGCATTTGAAACAAGACGACTTCTTGCAATTAGTTGACTCATGGTATGGGGATGCGCAAATTGCGCACAATTTGTTTGTTCGGAGGTATTGTGAGCGGTCATATGGCGTCTTGTACATGTCGCAATTGAACGATTTGTGATCGGCTTTACAGTACATGCAGCAGTACTTTTTGTCGGGGATCCACGATCTGCTTGTATGGACTTGTTTATTGATACTACCTGACATTGGTTGGTACTTTGATGTGTACTGCCATACTTTTTCCTCCTTGTATATAACTTCCTCAATAAGTTGGAGGAGTTGGTCCATGTGGAAGGGTTTATCTTTGTTCGTCACGACGTCAAGTTTCTTTTCGATGACTTTGCGCTGTATGTTGTTAGAGAATTTAGACAATACTTTCTTAAACATACATTGATTGTCGACATTTTCACCTTTTACTTTTAACTGTGTTAGTATTAAGTGCAAATGTTCGAATAGTTTCCGTTGATCGTGCACCGTGGTGGAACGAAGCTGGCTGTTGTCAAGTTTGTCCATGAGTGTTATTATGAGTTTTTCCGAGTCTGCATATTTTTTAGTAAGAAATTCAACTGCTTTAGCATAGTTCTCCTTAGTGAGTTGAAATTTCTTTACCGCATCGAGTGCTTCCCCTTGTAGCGAATTAAGCAGGTAATTGAATTTATATAATTCCGATATGTTCTGNCATGAAGTATGGTGCCGTCTCTGGCATTTGAAACAAGACGACTTCTTGCAATTAGTTGACTCATGGTATGGGGATGCGCAAATTGCGCACAATTTGTTTGTTCGGAGGTATTGTGAGCGGTCATATGGCGTCTTGTACATGTCGCAATTGAACGATTTGTGATCGGCCTTACAGTACATGCAGCAGTACTTTGTGTCGAGGTTCCACGATCTGGTTGTATTGTCTTGTTTATTGATAGTACCTGACATTGGTTGGTACTTTGACGTGTACTGCCAAACTTTCTCCTCCTTGTATATAACTTCCTCAATAAGTTGGAGGAGTTGGTCCATGTGGAAGGGTTTATCTTTGTTCGTCACGACGTCAAGTTTCTTTTCGATGACTTTGCGCTGTATGTTGTTAGAGAATTTAGACAATACTTTCTTAAACATACATTGATTGTCGACATTTTCACCTTTTACTTTTAACTGTGTTGGTATTAAGTGCAAATGTTCGAATAGTTTCCGTTGATCGTGCGCCGTGGTGGAACGAAGCTGGCTGTTGTCAAGTTTGTCCATGAGTGTTATTATGAGTTTTTCCGAGTCTGCATATTTTTTAGTAAGAAATTCAACTGCTTTAGCATAGTTCTCCTTAGTGAGTTGAAATTTCTTTACCGCATCGAGTGCTTCCCNNNCGATATGTTCTGGGAATGTATGTTCGCTTTGAATAACTCCCAGAAATTGACCCATTCCCAAATATTACCACTGAAAGCCAGAATCGGGAGTGTGGGTAGTTCGAGACGTGTTGCTGTAGCTATAGTTTGGGGAACTTCGACTGCTTGAAGGTCTGTTTGTGCCTTTGTTGGGGTGGATAGCTTTCTTTGTGAAGTATTAGCAAACTCAAAGCTTTTTATACGACTTCTGAGTTTTACTAAGTAGTCTTCTGCTGCCTCGGTTATTTCCTCTGCTTTGCTGCAATGTATTTCGGTGCCTTCATCGCTCTCTAGTGTTAGATCGCGCTCTGAAGACTTTGTTTCGTACTGGAGTAGTGCTTCGTTTAGCTTTGCGATAGCTCCTTCGATGGTGAGAACTCCTTCATTTAGTTTGTAAATGCTGTCACATATGAAGGTTTCTGTTATCTCTCCATTAGCGGATGATGTGCTGAGCATTTCCAATTGCTCATCTTTGAGACGCGTTAATGTGGTCTCAAGCTTTCTAGTGTAATGCGTGATACGCCGTTTTAGAACTCGCAAAGAGTTGGCCATGGTTAAATAAAGCGGAAAAGAGAATTTCGTGGAACAAAAATTTGTGAACTCACGAAAGCGGTACCAAGCTGAAGTGGTAGCTGCAAAGTTGAATTGCGAAACTTGCTGTTGTTAGGTCCTTTCAAGCGACCAATGCACCATGTAACGAAATGGTTAGCGGCGAAGTGTAGCGGTTCAGATTGATGTAGAATATTAGCCACGCGGTTCTTTTAGTTGTTGTTGCTGATCTACCAGCCTCGAACTTGGGTAATTAAACCTTTAATACATAAATACAATACTGATAACATGATAGTAACGATAGAGAAGTAATAGTAGAGGAATAACACAAATTAGAGCTCTGAAGTGCTAAGGAAGTGCTGTGGTTGTGCGGAGCGGATTATCCGCGCTACCGATCGGGGGTAAGGTGAGTGATGGCATGTCTCCGCCGTCGAAGGCACCTGGCTTATATCGGCTGCGGGAGCCGCGAGCTTATGCAACCGCGGCTAATCTGGATTGTTGATCCTGGACCGCAATAGACTGTACCTAATTGCCTGAAACATCAAACGTCATTAGCTTCGTTGTTTCGCAAGGAAGTAGTAAACTGTTCTATGGTTACGCCTCCTTCGGATAAGCCATCGTCGCTATGCTACTGAAGTCAAACCTGAATCGCTATAGTGCCTGAAACATTGAACATAATTGATCGAGAAGATTAGAAAGGTTACATTGCGGTGTTTGATGTGCGAGTGGGAGAGGGCCATATTTGGACTTCAAATACTATTATTTAGTTACGTAGAGAACTTTCCAAGGGAGAAGTTCTCTATAATCACCCCAGGCGGAGCTATGTGAATGTTTTAGCTGGGCTGTACTTAACAGTTTGATTCTATGTAGCAAAAATGAAGATGAATGTATTCTTTCTTTGATGAGCTTCCACGAAGTTGATAATGATATTTATTCATTTTCGGCTAACGTTTCGACGTCTTCGTCTTCCTCAGAGCCGGTGATCCGAGTCGATGGTCCATGATTGTTGTTCGTCTCGACGTTGCAGCTTCGCCTTCGTGTCGAGCCAGGTCTTCCTCAGTGAGCCAGCGATCTCTACGTTTTACATTGGCAGGAATTCCGTTACCTTGTGATGACCCGCATCACTAAGAAAATCCAGTGGGAAGATGCAAGTTGTATTGTCTTTGTTTCTTTCGCTTTTTCCCTCTTACTCATGTTAAAAGGCATTCAGGAGATGGAAAGTCATCCATCTACCATGCCCATTTCATTGAGCACTGTGTTTTCTTCTATCTGGATCCACAGCGGAGAAGGAGGGTGTCAATACAGGCACGGAAGTTGCGTATTTAGTGCATTCTGTTACGTTATTCTCTCTTTTTCTTAAGTTTAGGGGTTTTTTAAGTTTCTATGATCTTCTGCTGTTTCGCATCGACTGTTACAAATTGAAAAGTTTGCACTAATGCGCAAATTTGACAGTTTACCAAAATTTACTATTCTTCCATGTCCTTCTGACGGTTTACCGCCTCATCGTGGCTGGCAGGTGTTCCTCGATGTCGGACTGCGAGGTACGGCAGGGGATTCATCCATCCGGCAGGGACTCCCAAGCTGAGAAGGAGTCCAACGTTTCTATCAGGAAGCCCAGCTAATAGTAAACCAGTACTATGATCCACCACCGTCCTGGCATCAAATTAGTCGCATGGTTGCAAATTTCACTCTGATCCACATGGGCGGCGATTGCGTGTGGTGGTGACGTCTTGGGACAGATTTGGCCTGGTTGACCTCGGGACGCCAGAAAACCACAATGGCTAAGCCAGCGAAACTCCGACAAAGTGGAGATTATGCTTGGGCCGTAACAACCAGTGAGGACGGGCCATTCAAGTATCCAAGTTGCAAGTAAGTTTCTTCTATATCATAAAATTTGAAACTGCCGTGTATGTTTTGACCTATGATATGCACCTTTTATTAAGTTAAGAAACGCATTACAATGCAGCATCTCACCGTTACTAGATTAGCGGATAATTTTCTTGAAATCTTCACTGATCAAAAACGGAGCCATGAAGAACATCAGCAGAGTTCTAAGGTTTCATGGTGAGATCTTTGTTAAAATTTTGAATTTGTCATCGTGCTAAGATTTTTCTAATATCTGACATACTTGTATATAGGTGCTCACTAAGCAATTTCCACTGTCTTTACCGACCACTTGCACTGCGATGAAGGTCGGTTTGGAATGCTCTGCCTTCCGAGATGTCGACAGATATCGGAATGAGTGCGTATGTGCACTTTTTCCGGTAATTGCAATTGAAGTTGGCTTTAAATAACTAGTGATTATTATTATTATTGTTGTTTATGATTTGCTATTAGCTGTGGGTTATCTAACATAATACCGACCGCTGCAGGATGGACTGTTTGTTGAAAAGCAAATTATTGTCGACGGACAATCATTGTCAACAATAACTGTCCTGTATAAAACGGCACTCTTGGATGAGGTTGCCTCATTCGAAACTCTTTACTAAAGAGGATTCGACTGGATACGACGACGAAGACACCACATTGAGCTCACGAACGACTATGAACCATCAACTTGGATCACCAGCTCTGAGGAAGACGAAGACGTAGAAACGTTAGCCGAATAAAAGTTTTATAGCAATATCGTGTAAGCTGAACGATCCAAATAATTTTGAGAGTTGATACGATAGAAAGAAAGGTAAAACTTAAAAAATTGTTTAGACAAAGTAGTGTAGATCAATGTGGCTATACGAAAGCTTTTCATGAGTGAACCGGTGTTTGAAAGTCCGGAAAGTCCACTAGCAGTTTGGCTCACTAAAAATTACAGAACAATGAGGTTATCCATTTAGAATGGAAGTATACTCTGCATGAATCATTGAAGGTGGATCTCTTTCTAACACATATAGTTCGCTGGAAAATTGTGGTAACTTGTATTAGTATTTTTTCAGAAGAAACCAGAACGGAGTCGAACTCATTTCATAGCTGTTAGCAACTGAAAGTGATTACCTAGCATTAAGGCGGATCTCGGGATGGTTAAAGCGTCGTTGAGAGCGTAGAAAGAGGTCTCGAAAAAGTTAGGCCTCTTACTAAAAATTTTAAAAAAAGCAACCAAAGAAATAATGCTTATTGCACGCATAAATCGACCACATTCACAGTTAGAATCAACTTTTAAGACCCAGAAACCACAGTTGAATCCACAACAGAACGAGGATTCGACCACCTCCACTGATGATGGTTTCAAGACAGCGAAACGAACTGAATTGCTGGCACCTGCATGAGAACAACACTCATTCAAAAATTTAATTATCTGTAGCCTAAGTAGGGTGACTTGTATTGTGAAAACAGTCTGTTGTAATGGTGGTGCAACCGTGTAAACTCCAATGGAGTACCACTAGAATTGGTGCCGTTGATCCCTATTTTAATAAACAACATGGAAAATGTTTACGAATACGAAAATATGTACACTACAACCGCTCGAATCCACATTGCTTTAAATTTTCGTATCGCTGCATCGAGGACGTATGTAGTGCAGTGGTCGGAGACGCCCTGCAATACACATGGGATCGATCGCGTGCCCCAGGCTCAGCAATCTCTCCATCCCTCTGGAGTTGGTAAATTGGCGCTAGATCTATCTGATAGGGTAGAATCACTAGCTTGATACATCGGAAGGAGACTGGGAGTCATTGTATAGCCCAGTTATGCATTCAAGTACCGCCATCGATACTTAGTGAAGACGAATGTATGGCGTTTCCCTTAGGGATAGATCAACGCCGAGAGCTTTATCGCTTGTACTTTTATCGATACAGTCCTTATCACAGCCATTTCACACCATCCCTCACCTTACTCGTATCTGCAAAACAGATGCTCACAAAACAGGTTTTGTTGCTTGTATGAGATTTGTTCTGACATAACCGCTGCACGACCTTAAGTCGATACATTTTACATAACACGCGTTTGTTACAATCACATCTATTTCACGTAGAAGCTAATGACTTCTTGACGATAATTGTGCGATATGTGAGTTTTGTTGACTGAAGAGGTATTGAAGCCAGTCTTATCTTTTTTTCCTGAGACCCTCACCAACTAAACGCAGCTAAGTCTGAAAAGGAAGCAAGGTGGTGGGAAGTAGGGTCAAGTCCATTACCCAACTAGTATTAAAAGGCTAAGCTGAAACTGCTGTGGAAAAAATTTGGATTTTCTTGAAATCGGTAGACAGGGATTGAGACAAATGAACGATAGTGTGCTAACTTTGAATAGAAATGGTTGTCGAAATTCACTGTGAAGGAGCCGGTTTGTGCAGTCTTTTTCTGATCTCAGCCATGCGGCCGGAACTGTACTGAAATCAGCTAACCGAAATATTTGGATCATGAAAGGATTGACTGTTTAATTCAAAGGATTTGAGAGCGTCTTTTTGCAGTGATCTTGAAGATTGATGAGATATAAGAGACTGACGATGTTTTAAGAAGGAAAAAAGCTTTTTCAACCCTTTTATTTAGTGCCTTTTTT